TGATATGCAAAGGCCTCACAACTCTCAAGATAGTGTTTAAGCTCAAAATTAGATTTGGTTAAGGGAGTGGATTAACTATCCCATAAGTATGAAGATCAGCTATTTGGATCAACAAGAGTGGTAAGAAGGAAGAAGATGATCCAAATATGTATATGGTAGCCATGAATTCACTTTTCAATGCACAAACATGATAATTATAAATTCAGATTAAGGTTCAAATTGATAGAGTTGATTTTCAGAGAACAAATGCTTTCAGTATGAGATAAGAGCATCAAATTTAGCAATTCAAGCATGGTTCAGCCTTAACTTCTAACATTCTCATTATGCATCAAACAACTAACCACTTAAACATTGAAATCATCTCTAAACGCTAAGCATTTTACAAGGAGAATTCATCATTATGCCCTATACAAAGGCAATGCATCCTATATGCAAACACTAGACTCAATCCTAAGCAAATGAAATGCAACTATATGCTCTCTTTTTTGTTTGCAAAAACATGCAAATTTTTTCAATTTTTTTTATTTTTTGTGTTTCTCTATGCCTTAGATGAATGCATGATATGCATGTGACTCAAGATGAAAGAAAATGAAAAACTAAGAAAAGAACAAACAAATTCAAACCCTAAATCTCTCCCCCACACTTAAATTACACAGTCTCTTGTGTAATGAAAGGAATGAGAGAGAGAAGCAACATAATATATTACAAAAACTTAAAAAGATGCAATGGTATATACAGTGGAAGGATGTGGTACCTTAATTGTTGTAAGAGGAGTGGTGGGATGGGCAATAGAATTCCTCAGTGGAGATCCTGGAGCTGGCAGAAGTGGGTCAGAATGTAAAAGTCTGAAAGTTTAGAATCACTTACCTTGCTGGCCTCTATCGGTCACTTTTGATCGATAGGGTGGTATCGGTCAGTTTTGACTGATACATGTGATCGATAACCCTCCTGTCAAATCCCATCGGTCACTTTTGATCGATGGCAGTGACCGATGATGCATCAGCTTGGTTTCCATCGGTCAGTTGTGACCGATACAAGTGATCGATGCTACATCCGCTTGATTCTCAAAAACATCCGCTTGATTCCCATCTTGTGTTCTTTGGAATTCCAACATCAATAGATATTCTGAATCTAATCACAAAAAAACAAACTAAGTTAGTTTTTGAGAACTCAATCCAGATAAGTGATTAAAACTTTTAATTCGCTATTAATTATTCACAGAAATCGCCTAAAGGCGTTCTTAAACTGTATAGTCGTTCCTAGAAATCACCTAAATGTGTTCTTAAACGCTATGCATCAGATCATTAAAATCGTTTATAGATAAACGTTTCGCGATCCTGGTTAGGGCTGATGCGGAAATCATTTTTCGTCTTTATAATAATCGTCGGTTTTTAAGATCAAACGTTCTATGGTTGGCTATAAGATAATCGCAGAAGCGTTGAGATTGATCAGAAAACGTTTTAAAAATTGTTTTATGAAATTGTTTTCAGAGTATTGTTCACAGTATTCAATTCGATTCAAGTGATTAGCAAGAAACTGATTTAAAGAATGAAGATTGTAGGACCGCAAAATCCGGATTAAAATCACAAAACCAAAAACGTGGAAGGGAGACTTTGGGCGGAAGGGTTAGCCTTGGCGGCCAGTCTTATATAAACCGGAATATTCTGAAATTTTTTTATCTCTTACCGCAAAGGATATGTAAATCGGAAATATATCAAAAATAATTATTCTTGTTCGATAAGTATCAGGGCGAGAAGAAAATATTACGAAAATTTTCTGTCATTAATTTTTGACTCAATCACAAAGATTTTATTGAATTATGCAAAAAAAATGTTAAGGAATATTAACATATTTGTGAAAATAAGCTAATAAGTATTCAAAAAGAACATCTTTTGTGGGCTAAAGTCCACATTCACCAAGACCTAAGCCCAAGCTCGAGCCTCGAGCACAGCGCGCGTATGTGTGTGTTGTTTTGCATAACAGCCATTTCTCTCCTTCTCCATAGTGTCCTCTTTTCAAACCTAGTGAACCTTGTTGAGAGTGTATCACTATATATACTAGTGGAAAATTTTTCCAACTTTTGATGTGGGACAGAATGCACATCTTGACATTTGTTGGTTTTTTGTCTTGATTGCAAACCAGAGATTTCTCAATCAAATCAACTTCGTTTTTGACAAGTAATTACATTATCTTATAGTGCTCATTACAAGAAGTTCAAAGAATCCATAATCCAGTCATTTCGGTAACCGTACTCACTGAAAATATCGACGAAAAATTGGTCTGAGCTATTTACCAAAAAATAAATTTCAACATTTTTTAATCATTTTATTTTATTTAATTATAGCTTTAATTAAATAGTTATTTATAATTTACCACTTGTTGAGACGAACATTATATAATGAATATATATTGTCCATTGGATAATACTTGTGACCTATTATCCACGATCTTTTGTCCATAATCTCTTGTCCACGATCTTTTGTTTTGTCCATGCTGCAATGTTAATTAAAAAATGAATCTTATAAATATTTCTAAATCTTGCGCATATCTCTTAGAAAAGCTTTGAGACACTTATGAATTTACTAAAATTAATAGAGTTTATCTCTCTTTCTTTAAAGCTTTCCATCAAATTCTATAAATATATAAATCACCACATATGGATAACATAAAAAGACAGAGTCATATCAAATTTCAAAATCAATAAGCAAGAGAAAATCATAACTATCATAGATGACATTATCAAGAGAGTTAAGAGATCTGCTAGAACTAAATATGTACATGCTATCTTGTTTATTGGATCATGTATGCGACATCTTGTCGATGGCCTCTTGACCATGCTGTCATGTCCACGAAAAAATGAATTTTGCACATATTTCTTTGTTTTCTTCCTCTTTTTTCTCTTCTCTGATTAGGTGACAAATTCAACAAAAAGTAAAACCATTTATTTATCAACAATCATATATGAGGTTGTGTGGCCTATGATTTATCTAACGCAATATTTGTTCGTGTCTTCTCGTTCGTATCAATGTTTCTGTGTCCAATCATTCACATCTATGCTTTTGTATCCATTTGTCCTATCCATGCTTTGGACTCTGAGACGTCTATAGTGGTTCTGAAAAAATAGATCTAGGTTTTGTGGCCAAAAGCGGTGAAGTTGCAAGGGAGTAAATTATCTAAAGTCTCGAATTCGATTTTCAGAATACGCCACTGGCAGAATTGGTTTTTATCAGAAAGAGGAGAGTCTTCTTCTTCAAGCGATGTTGGTGATGAAACTCTTTATTTAAAGATTTTTTGGTGGCAGCAAAGAGACATTATGTCTAGGGTTTTAGAAATTGATTTTTTTTATAAAAAAAAATCTCACATTTTTGAAGATTATGGTAATATATAAAAGAAAGAAATTATAAAATCAAAGAATTATAAGAAAAAAAATGTATAAAATTGCTAGTTTGATTTGAGAGAGTTAGAGAATATTTTTTTGGCCATGGAAAAAAAGTGAATGAGATATGAGAATAATTTGATTTTTCTGGAAAAAAAGTAATGAAAGTACCTTAATTGTTGTAAATGCTCTTTTCTGGAATATGAATTTAGGAAAGTGCCTCTAAATGTAAAATAGTCCTTATTGAGTTAGAGTATTGTTGACCTATTATTGATCCGTATATTTTATAGAAGGGTCAGAGGATGGAGGATTTAGGGTTATTACTTAAAACAGAAGCAACTACTTTTAGGTTATCTTCATCCTTATCAGTATATCCAATTGTGTCTTTTTCTATCTCATATACGCAAATAGTTTTTCTTTAACCTCAATACCAATATTAGTAAAACATATATGAAAAACAAAGACTTTGATTATTTCTTCTCTTATTCAATTATTCGTTGGAGGTTTCATTCATTAAATCTTTGAATTTAGTAACTACGTCATGAACCAACATTGTTATGGCTGATTTGGGTGATTTGTATTCATGGGGGCAATTGAGTTTGAGACCGCTTTCTTTCAAAACTGGAGCAAAAAGGTAAAAAAGAAAAGAAAGGATGAAGAACTCAAACGCATAAAATAAATGAAATTATTGAGTACATAACTTGCAACTATTAAACGAAGACTTTAAATAAATACAAGAATGATTTATTGAGCACGATTCAAGAATCTCTTGCTTCAGTATAGTGTTCATGCATCTTCTTCAGATCTAATGTTTCTTCAACTAAGTTAAAAAACTTTCGTTGGAGTAGAGAAAAAAAGTTAACTAATCTTGATCCATCAAATTGGAAGCATCTTCATCCAATTCTAAACAAGATTCATGTGAGCATGCAGGAGCGGATATTGATGGATGTTGTTGATCCTTGGTGTTGATCATGTTGAGAACTGCTTCTAATCCCTTTGCCGCGTATTTGTCCATGACATCTCCAATCCAATCTTCTTCTACTTCCTCCATGGCTTCACCTTGTTCGTTCTTCTCCATCATGATGATGGTTTCTTTTGGTGGGGTGAATCTCGGAGGAGGAACCACCGGATTATCCTCTTCCAAGGGTTCTTTTCCGGCGGCAAAACATAGACGTTGCAAAGCATTGAGCATTGTCGACATTGAATACGCATCGGTGTGTGCCATTGTATATTATCGTTTATTCGACAGAATTGAATAATTATTATTGGTGTTGAGATTGTGGGAATTGTGTGCGTATATTTATATTAGCGTGTGTTTTTTGTTTTCCTTCTCCCAATAGGAAATTTATTTGGCAACGTTGCCAAAGTTTTTGTTTTCCTTTTTTTTTTTCTCTCGTTTTGATTTTTGAATCGTTTATTGTTTAAAATAAATAAATAACTATTGCTTTGAAATCTCAATAATAAATTTTCCAGTAATTCAAAATAATTTTCACTTCAGTCTCCGAATTTTTTTACCCAAAAATTGTGGTTGTGATCATTTAAAAAAAAATATACTTGGTCGACAATTTTCTAAAATTGTCTAAAAAGAAAAATTAGTGTTATCTTAAACTAGTTGTAAATACAATTAGACAAACATAATCATCAACGGTTTCTCTTCTTCCTCCTCAAGCATTCCATTATCATTACCAAAAAACATTGGCAAAAACATTTGATCAACTTCACAAGGAGACTTATCACCAGAGAGAAACACATTAGCTCTTCCATTAAGCACAATCCAGCTACATCCTGGTGTCTTCTTCACACCTTTAAACCCCATCTCTTTCCTCATCTCCTTCTCCATCTCACGCTTCCCTAAACCGGCATACACGTTGCATAGCGCCACGTGTCCCGGCGCATTAACCGGATCCAGCTCTAGCAACCGCGTCGCTGCCCTTTCCGCTACGCCTTCCGCATCTCCATCTCTCCCGTTAAGCCCGCATAAGCCTAGCAACGCACCGTAGACCGTATGGTCTGGTGTAAAAGGCAGAGTTGAGATGAATTCCTCTGCGTCTTTTAGTTTACCTGCTCGGCCTAAAAGGTCTATCATCGAGATGTAATGCTCGATCCCGGGTTGGATCGAATACGTCTCCTTCATCGCTTTGAACAGCTCTAAGCCTTGTGTGATGAGTCCAGAGTGGCTACAACCTGAGAGGACTGCAAGAAACGTAACAGAGTTTGGTTTCATCTCTGAATCAAGCATCTCTTTGAAGAGCTTCAAAGCTTTATCCGCTAAGCCGTGGTGAGATAACCCCATGATCATGGAGTTCCAAGAAACTGTATCTCTCCTGACCATCTTTGAGAAAATTTCGTAAGCATCCTCTATGGCTCCGCATTTCGCGTACATGGAGACGAGAGAGTTTTGAAGGATGAGATCAGGATCATAGCAAGCTGTTGTCTTTGCGATCACACAGTGTAAATGCTTCCCTTGATCTAGATTTGAAGTGGCGCCTGCGGAGCTAAGAAGAACAGAGTAAGTCGAGCTCAACGGCTTTAAACCATGTCTCACCATATCTGACAACAGAGACGAAGCTTCTGCAAAAAGCTCGTTTCTTACGAGACCTGAGATCATAACAGTCCATGTAACCCCGTCCTTATCGTGAAGCTTCTGAAACAGATCAAAGGCTCTCGATACATCCCCCACCTCTAGATATCCTTCCATCATCGATGTCCACGATACTTTCTCCTGTAAGCTCTCGACTTTCTTGAACGGAGTCTCAGCTCGCTCCAAATCCCCTGTTTTCAGATAACCCTTGATCATAATGTTACAAGACTGCAAATCGAAGCTCTCATCGAGCAGAGACTGCGCTGAATCGATCAAACCAGATGATGCATACATATGAACAAGACTTCTCCTCAACCTTCCCTCGTGATCCACGCTTTCCCAACCGTTAGAGACGACTTGTGCGTGCACTTGCTCGCCAAGACGGAGAAATCCAACACCAAGACCACCACAAGCATAAGCGAGAGAGATGAGAGTCTCACCATTCGGTGATACCGCATCAAGATCCTTCTTCATATCAAGAAAAAGCAGCAAGGCTTCTCTATAGAACTCATTCCAAGCAAACCCGCTGATCATCGCGGTCCAAGAAACGACATTTCTCTCCGGCATTTCACGGAACAATCTGTAACCTTCTTCAACATCTCCGTTCCTGCAATAACCATATACCATGCTCGTCCACGTAACCACATTTCTCTCACTCATAGTCTCAAACAAGACTCTCGCTTCATCCATCCCATCGTTCTCGATATACCCTTTGATCATAGCGTTCCGCGAGACGATATCTCGGCTAGGCATAGCGTCAAACACCTGTTTCGCCTTCTCCATGTCCCCATTCCCAATCAGACCAGTGACCAACGTGTTCCACGAAACCACGTTTCTCTCAGGCATTTCATCGAACAACTCGATCGCATCTTCGCTTTTTCCATCATCACAGAGCGCAGTGAGCATCACGGTCCACGAAACAACGTTCTTGGGCATTTCTCGGAACAACGTCCAAGCCTCTTTCAGTCTCCTGCGTTTGACATAACCCGTCAACATCGCGTTGCAAGTGACGATGTTCTTCTCAGGCATAACGTCAAACAGAGCCCTTGCTTCGTCCAAGTATCCAGCTTTCGTGTACTTCGTGAGAAGCGAAGTCCAGTAGACGACACGGCTATTGCTTCCTCTCTGAGGGATTCCGTCGACCAAGTGGCGTGCTTGTACGAGACCTCCTTCAGATAAACGTCGAAGGATAAGAGCTTCTTCATTCGAGAAACCTCGACGATTGCTTCCGTGATTCGATCTCGCATTTCCAAAGAATCGGAATGAAGAATTGGGAGATTGTTTCGATAGAAAGCAATAAACTTTCTTGACACAGAGAGCTCGCATTCAAACAATTTCAAGTTTCTTAATCTCTTTCCAGCTTCTCTATCTCTTTACAAAATACACTCTTTAGCACCTGCTTATAACCCCTAATAGAGTAAAAGCTTCTTTATGTTCTCCATTGACACAGATTTATAAATAAGGAAACATTGATACTTTTTTCCCAAATAATAATAATCAGTTCTGTACACCAAAGCCAAACCAAACCATATGTAAAAGTCTCATCTTACAACAAATTCATTCATACATACACTTGAAACAAACAAAAAAACCTAAACTTGTGAAAAACCCAATCATAGAAGTCTTGTGAGTTGTGTGACTAATTCAGGAGCGATTAACCGCAACAAGACGTTTTCTTTCCGGAAGTAGTAAAAAGGCTGAGACTTTGAGCTTGAAAGTTGAAACCAATGATGAAGAATTTCTCTCTCTCTCTCTCTCTCTCTCTCTCTCTCTCTCTCTCTCTCTCTCTCTCTCTCTCTCTCTTTAAATGTAGCTGTAATAGTTGTCACTGCCATCTCCTATGCAAATGTAACTCAGAATAGCGACGAGGAAGACAACGTAGGACGAGAGATCAAACGCTAACGCACCCCAGCCGATGAGCCCGGCGTGTTTTAGAATCGCGGGTATCGCGACGCTTCCAACTGCTGATGCACCAGTCAAGAACTTGGCTGCATTGATCCAGCTGAGAAAACAAATTTCAGAGAGTTTTGAATATGTATAGGCTTAAAGAGGAACATGGACTTGACTGTTTCTTGCAAAATGCAAACGCAAACGCCAAACGCAATGAACAAAGCCTCTGGTTTGACTTTGCGTTTAAAACTAACAAAGTAATCTTGCTTGACATGGTTCAGGTTGTGGGTTCATTTGGATAAAATAGACAGTAAACGTAAACTTTAAAACACAAACGCAAACGAACAATTTAGGCCTGTACGTAGATTATGTACCTATTGTCTGATTCGTTGAACAGAGATGTACTGTCTGATCCAGCGAAGAAGAGTAAAGGCATTGGGAGAAGTACATACATTATCACTGCAAATCAAACTTTGAAGTTAGATTCATGGCAAAGCAAGAGGTTGAGAGCCATCACCATCTTAACTTTTCAAGTTCACTGATCAAACAAGAACTTAAGAAAACGAGTTCCATCGATATAAAAAATAGAGTTTTAAAAGTCCAAGATACTGTAAAGACGGTTAAAGATCAAGCCAGGCAAGTTATATGGAGGGCTAGAGAAACAACTCACCACTTAGCATTGGCCACCAATTATTGAACAGAGCACAAGCCTGGAGCAAAATTAGGAAAATCAAAACAAAAGAGTTTAAACACAGGGTATGATGGACCTAAGCAATAAACAGAGAGTTAAAACTTGTAAGAATTTGATACCAGAATCTGCAACACGATCCCTCCAGAAACTAGGATTGCTAAAAAAGCTATCTTCCCCATATCCAAACAAGCACGCAGGTGTCTAGGTAAGTCTGCCATTGACAAGGCGCTTCTCTACCTTTGTTCTCTTCACAAGAAAGCTGAATACACAAAGAAAGTTCTGAGTTTCTAATGATAACATCCACTTCTTCTCATTATTCATAATAACCCTATAGTGTCATGATTCTATGACTCTCAAACATAAAAATCACTGAGCCAAACTTTAATTAACAGAAGAACTCATTAAGAGAGATTCAAGAAAGTATCATCAGAGATCTTTTTTTTTTTTTTATATTCAGTGGTAAGAGAGATCAAGCTCATCAGAAATCACCTATCAAATTCGACAACAGACCTCAATTCTACTTCTTCAATCGCTATATAACTGTAACATATAAGCAAAAAAACAAAATTCAGAAAACTCAAACCAAACTTCAATTTCTACAAAAGATTACTGAATCCAAATCCAAATCGATTACTTTGAATCCAAATACAAATACAAAGCTGAACTACTTCCAATCAGTTCGAAGAAAAATTGGATATTACTGAATCCAAATCCAAATCGCTAGAATTAGTTTCCATCGAGCGAAAGTCAAAAACAACAATAGCGGCAAATTGAATGATTTCAGTCCAGATACACGAGAATCATACCGACCAAAGTTAGATTTACGTGGGCGAATAAAAACCCTTGACGATCAAATCTTTTTACGAACCCGACTGTTGAATCCCTTAATTTTCAGACATTGCCTTTTGTTATTTCTTTTTTTTTTAAGAAAAACAATTCTGTTTTTATAATATCCCAACTCTATCAGCAGTGGTCAAGAAGACCATCGTATCAAACGGAATTATCCAGTAAACTAATAAAACCAAACCGGAGACGGTTTGGAGATATTTAGTCTGGTCCGATTCGATCAGATGTAAATTTGAGTGATTTTGAAAATGAACTCAAATGGATTTGTTTAACGGTAATTCTTAAAAACATCATAAAATTTTTTTTGTTCCAAAATAATATTTTTTTTAAGAAAATACGACAAAGGTTTATACACATAAGCTTGATCCATTCTTCATAATCTATATATAATAGTAAAATAATTTTTTAACTGCTGATGTCATCATTTTTTATATAAAAAAATGATAAATTTAACGGTTATATTATTTTGATTAGTTTTGATTTAAAAATTTAATAATTAGGATTTGATCGCTAACATCATCTTCTAAATATTAAAAAAATATAGATATAATCTAAATAAATACATAGTTAAAACATTGCAACTTTATACTTAAAACATTGCAATTTTATGAATCATTGTAACTTTTCATTTTGGTTGCTAAAAAAATCAATCTAATGGTTAACTATCTTTGTTTCCAGATTTAACGATAAAGATTAGATTTATTATGTCTGCCTAACATTTATATATTGAAGAACTGTTGCAACTGGTAAAATGAATATTTGCAACTATTTCGATTACTAACCATTGCAATTGTTGGGCGTATGGTTACATTATTCTGTGACTAATCATTGCACCAGTTGATGATCAATCATTGCACCCTAATCAACCATTGTAATCTCTGGAAGTGACATTTGGTTTCCTATAAAAGGAGTTGTGGGCATTGTCAAAATCACAACAAAAACAGAAAACAAATTGAAGCAAAAAAAATTAAGAAAAAAAAGTAAGAGAGAGTTTCACTATTCCAAAAGATCATAAAAATTTTCTGGAAAAACACATATCACTATTACAACTGTGTTTTATCCTACAAGAGTTTTTGTCTAACTCAAAGCTTGATAAGGGTCGAAGTAGGGGTGGGCGTTCGGGTTATCGGTTCGGTTCGGGTCGGGTATTTTGGATTTCGGGTATTTCGAGAATCTGTTAATTAGTACCGATCGGGTATTTTCAAAATTCGGATCGGGTTCGGTTCGGTATTCTTCGGGTTCGGATCGGTTCGGATACTTAATTTTGGATCTGTTTTCTTTCGGGTATTGCGGGTTCGGTTCGGATTCATATAAATTTATTTGAAATAGTACTTAAAAAATTGAAATTAACCGAAAAGAACCAAAAATAATTGAAAAACCTAAAATTCTGAAATTTAAATTAACCAAACTAACAAAATGTAAACATCAATGATCAATCTAAACATTCAGAACTTGATAGAAACAGAACAAAGAAACATCCCATTGCATAAAATGAAAAGAAAACAATGAAACATATGCCCCAAGCCTCAAAAGGTATAACACTTCAGTTTTTCCATATTCCCAAGTCCCTGTTACATAAGTTCGAATGATTCAAATCAAGTTAGTCCTTGCTATTATTGCCACTAAATCGAGAAACAACAATGTATTAAGAAAGTTTTGCTTTGAACGGCTTTGGCAAAGATACTGCAACACAATTTAAAAACACAATACTATTAATGTGTTCAACAAAACAATAAGGCCACATCGTGTATAATTGTATATTAAGAGAACATGTTACCTTGAGGCCATCTTCTCTTGTAAATCTACTTGATTCCTCCATAAAACTCTGGAAAATAGTTAAAAAGAATAAAACATCTGAATGTTAAAATTTAAAAGTGAAAAGATAAGAATATAAATAATGATTTGAACTAAAAGAAAAACTCACTTTTTTCAAGTTCTGTGTGTAAATCAGCATCAACAAGAAGAATAGCGTTTGTAGCCACTCTTTTCTCAGTCATTTTTATCTCACACTTCATCCATTGCTCTGTGCACATCAACACCTCAATCATGTAGTGAGTTAAACAGCTTCTGTATGGATCAATGATTCGCCTACTAGTTAATAGTAAAATAATTATATAAATTTTGTAAGAATGTTAAACTATTATGAGATTCTTGCAAAAATGACTTAAAATTTGATTTGAATTGCAAATCTAATCCACAAAAATCACTTTCCCAACATTTGCCATTTTGTGTCCAAACAATCCTTCATAGTTTCAGTTATTCACGAAATTGCCATTATTTTTAATTAATTTCTTTTATTTTCGGAAATCTAAATGACCAACTAATCCTCATCTTCCTCATTTAATTACGAAAATGCTATGAAAGTAGACTTCTCTGGGTCCGAATGAAGTCTACTAGTCAACGCCCAGGTTAGTTTTGCAATTGACCGCATGAAAAAAGTAGACTTCTTTTGGTCCGAATGAAGTCTACTCCATTTCCTTTGATAACAAAAAAAAATGGAGTAGACTTCTCGAGTAGACTTCTTTAGAAGCAGGTCATTTTTGCAATTGACCAACCTTTGACTTTGTAGAGTAGACTTCTCTATGCAAAGTAGACTTAAAGTCTACTTTCGTAAGTAGACTTCTCGCAGGTCATTTTTGCAATTGACCAAAAAGTCAAATATTTTGCAATTGCAAAAATGACCTGCAAGAAGTCTACTTACGAAAGTAGACTTCTCGGAGAAGTCTACTTTTCATAGAGAAGTCTACTAATATTTTGGAAATTGTAAAACTAACCTGCGAGAAGTCTACTTTTATCCGAGAAGTCTACTTTTCTTGTTTTAAAAAAAATCATTTTTATACAATATATAACGAATTTTTAAGATTTTCATGATCCTAAGCTTCTGTTATTAAGTTTTCTTGCTTATGTATAAGTTTTGCATGTTTATATTTTATAGGTATAGTCGAATGAGTTTTCATGTTTTATATGATACTTAGCTTATTAAGAGTAGACTTCTTAGTCTATTCTAGAAGTCTACTATGTAGACTTCATTCGACTTTCAGAGAAGTCTACTTATGCAATTTTGATGTCTAATGTGGTTTGGATTTTGTTCTTTTTTCACAGAGAATGGCTCACATACCCGCTGTTTATGGAGAATGGGTTAAGAGTGAATCAATGTGGCAGTTCGAGGTGGATAATAGCAAAGGAGGGCAAATGTTGTTCTTAAGATATGGTTGCACACATGGTGAGCTTCTTGGTGAATGTTGGCAAAGGAGGGCGAATAGCAAAGGAGGGCGAATGTTGTCACCTTTAAGTTATGCAAAATTAATGTCTTTAAGAAGTCTACTCGAGACAATGAGAAGTCTACTTCAGAAGTCTACTCGAGACAAGAGAATTCTACTCGGTTGACAAGTTATATGATATAAATGAGAGAAATGTCCCTCTGAATCACTTTTAAGTTATGTAAAATTAATGTCTTTTAGAAGTTTACTCGAGACATGAGAAGTCTACTCGAGACAGGAGAAGTCTACTCGAGACAAGAGAAGTCTACTCGGTTGACAAGTTATATGATATAAATGGGAGAAATGTCCCTCTGAATCACTTATAAGTTATGTAAAGTTAATGTCTTTAAGAAGTCTACTCGAGACAGGAGAAGTCTATTTTGTAGAATAGATAAGCATATATAATTTAGGTATTTGATACAAAACATTCAATGCAATTCAACATTACATAAAAAATAACCCTCTAAACAAACAAACATTTAAGGACCACTAGTTATAAATCTTAAAACTGGCATAAGAAATTACTAGTAAACTAAAATCTCTGAAAATTATGTATGCAACTGAAGTCTGCTTGAGAAGTCTGCTCGAGATCGAGAAGTCTACTCGAGAAGTCTGCTCGAGATCGAGAAGTCTACTCGAAAAGTCTACATTCAGATCTGCAAAAAAAAATCAACAAAATTCAGCTCTGTAACAATAACAAAAAATTTAGATCTAGAACAAAATCTATAAAATTTATACAACAATAAACTCAGATCTACAAATATAAACTTAGATCTACAACGATAAGCTCAAATCTAAACTAATAAGCTCGGATCTATAATAATAATCTATTATATTTATAACATTCAGATCTGTACAAAAATCAACAAAAATCAGCTCTGCAATAATAACAAAAATTAACAAAATCTACAAAATTTATACAACAATAAACTCAGATCTACAAAAATAAATTTAGATCTACAATAATAAGCTCAAATCTATAATAATAAGCTCAGATTTGCAATATAAACACAAAGCAAACAAAAAGAAAAACACAAAAGCTCAGATTTGCTTACCACTACCATAACCTGCAAGTGAGAGGAGGTTGAATGCAAGATAGAGAGGATAGAGAGGATATTGATAGCAAGAGAGGAAGGAGAAGAAATTCATGGCCAGAGAGAAGGGAGAAGAGAGAGAGGTGTTTTTTAGATAGAGAAAGACTTTATTGTTATTACAATTAGGTTAAACTCTCCTTATATATGTAGAAAAAAAATCGTGTAAGTAGACTTCTCCAAGAAATATACTCGAGAAGTCTACTTGAGAAACCGAGAAGTCTACTCGAGAAGTTTTTTAGTATTGATTTTTATCCTAATTTATCTATGATGATTTAAATTGATTATTTTCTGTCAAATTTTATTTTTAATAGGTGTAAAAAAGTATATATTTGTTGTTATGTATCTAATTTTTTTATCAAATTATCTTTTATGATTTTTAAAATTAATTGTAAACATATTATTAAAGAGTAGACTTCTCTGGGATAAAATAGTAATTGAGGTTGGCGTTTTTTTGTTTGGTCATAAGGGTTAAAGTTGTAATTTCACTACCCATGTGAGTTATTTTTGTCAAACATGTAATAGGGGGTCTAGTTTTGCATTTCAACTCAAGTTTTGAGTCATATTGAGCAATTCTCCTCTGAATCACTTTTAAGTTATGTAAAATCACTATTATACCTAGGATTTTTTGTTCTTGTTCTATATTATAAAACCATAGCCAATAATTAAGGTCGATTAGATCTTATATATGTTAGAAACTGTAATATTATCCAGTGTGTGGAAAAATTCTAAAATTAATGTATAAAATAATTTCTTTAAAATGAATGTAGAAAAAGGGTTTTGTGTTTATGAGATTATGATTTTTCATGAGAGAATTTTATAAGGTTGGACGAATATACCACAGGATAAAATAAGCTAGTGGTTTAAAATAGGTGTTAGTACTGTTGTGTTCCTAGTTCAATTTTCGGTGAAAGAGATGTATAAATACTAAAATAGTATTAACAAAGGCTGATCCCGAAATTGAAAAAGATAAGGGTGTAGGCCTAAATTTTCCCGGTCAAAAAAAGGTTGGAGGAATATTCGCAACAAAGATATTAAAAAGACTGAAGATGATGCATGGATAAAGGAATAAAATGTTTTTACCTGATGAAGGAAAAAAGTGATGCTGATAGATATGGGATAAAGATTGAAGGCGAGTTTACAACATTATGATGATCAACGTACTGTTAAAAAGACCATGAAGTCTTTGAATTAAGCCCATAACACGTTACTTACAAACCGAAATAGATTTGGTTCGGTTAGGAACAAATGACCTAGACACACCCAAATTTTGACTACACATCTTCGCGATGATTTGTAACTTTTGTAGTGCATCTCTCTCTCTCTGCGTCCGATCAGCAAAATACAACGATCAGTGAATTCGATCCCTCTTGATCTCTTTCAGGAGATATTCTCTAGATTGCCTATCAAGTCAATAGGGAGGTGTCGTTGCGTGTCGAAGCAATGGAGATCCATACTTTGCCGTCAAGACTTCACAGAGTTGTTCTTGACCAGATCCTCAGCCCGTCCACGTCTCTTATTCGCCCTGCCTGTATTTCTAAACGGTGGCTGACGCTTATTCTCGTTGCCTCAGCCTTACAATCCATATGATGAGAAGTCGTCGTCTCTTGTTGTAACCGCCGATTCTCATATGAAGCTCCCTGGACTTCAAAACGGTGTTGAGCTAGACTTTTGTGGCTATGCCTCTGGTTTGATCTGTTTCGGTTATGCTCTTTCGGAGCATATAGTGCATGTGATATGTAACCCTAGCACAGGACAGTGTACCAGCTTACCTAAATTGAGAGAGTTCATAAATTCAGATAGCTTTCTAGGGTTTGATCCCGTTGACAAGCAATTTAAGGTGTTAGTCGTGGCTAATGATAGTCATAGAATTCTAACATTAGGAACTGGAAAAATGTGTTGGAGGGAGATCCAATGCCCTTTAACCCATGAGTTTGAACCTTACTCTCGCCATAGGATATGCATCAATGGGGTTTTGTATTACTTTGCATCTTTTGATATGAAGATAGCTTGCTTTGATGTCCGGTCTGAGAAATTCATCAAGTTTATGGACACAGATTTCAATTATGATGGGCCTGGTAGATTCATATGCAATAAAGGTAAATTAGGTATGATCGCATGGAAAAATCCTTTCTATGATGATGAAAGTAAAAGTAATTCCATTGAGCTGTGGGTGCGGGTTCTAGAGGATTTTGAGAAACAAGAATGGTCGGAACATGCCTACACTCTGGAGATTGAACTCTCCTACCGCAATGTTGACCTTGTTGGAGTGTCAGCTACAGGTGAAATTGTTTTCTCGGATCTGTTTGAGGTGTACTACTTCAATCCTAAAAGGAAGGCTCTCCAAAGATTTGAAATCCAAGGTAACCATCGAGAACTGTTTGGCGCTAAGCACGTCTTTCTAGACCATGTAGAGGATCTTAGGTTTAATATTAGGAAGAAAGCCCCCTAGAACAGAAGCCTAAACCCGCAAGCACATCAGTATCATCTACCACAGCTCAGCTGCAACAAGAGCCTCGCACGTTTGTTAGTTTGAAGACAACATATGCTGCATCATCTATAAGCACGCCAGAACAGAAGCCTAAACACACGAGCACATCAACATCGTCTTCTAAAGCTCACCTCCAACAAATTGGTCGTACCTTTGAGAGCATCAACAAATTTGATACTCTGCGTCTTTTAGACCATGTAGAGGATCCTAAGTTTAATATTATGAAGCGAAGCCAGTTAGAGAAGAAGCCTAAAGCCATGAGTACATCAACATCATCATCTAAAGCTCACCTAAAAAAACAAAATCCTCGCACATTTGTTAGTAGGAAGACAACATATCCTGCATCATCTATAAACCCACCAGGACAGAAGCCTAAACCCACGAGCACATCAACGAGCTTTCTCACTCCAATGGCTTTAGCTATTTTGTTTTTTGTTTGGTTTTTTTTTTTCTCCAAAGTTTATTCTTTAATAGTCATCATGTAATGATAAAACTCACATGAAAGTGATTTCAGATGCAATTTTTGCTTCTATTAATATAATATCTTTAGTTATTAATATAATATATTGCATACTAATTTTTGGTTATCTTTGTTTGAGTACCCGTGCGATGCGTGGATTTTTTTCACAATATAATTTATTAAAAAATGTAGTTACAATTTATTTTATCGTATATTTAAATTTTTTTAAAGTATATTGTATATTTGAATAAACATACAATACATATTTACATATTATGTGGATATTAAGTATATATGTGATCAATGGTTTATTGCTAAAAATGTGAAATATATTATACTTTGTATATATATAATATATTAAATGGATATAGTGCAAATCAGAAAAGTACTATATAACAAAAATTAATTAGAAATCTCTTCAAGCACAACATATATAGAGACGACTGTTTTTAACAGGTCATACTTGTTCACGGCGTAGATTTACACAATAGCAATGCCATGGTTTTATATTTTTATGAGCTTAAATAATTAATTTATAATTTTAATTTATACAACTGCATTAAATATTATATATATATATATTAGGACTTTGATATCTTATTAGTTTTAAAATTATTAATGGATCAAGTTTGAATAAAATAAATAATCAAATAATTATTAGTTTATAAAGAAATTGTTTTAAAGTTTATTATAATATTATATAAATTTTTCTTCTAACTTTTTAAGGTTCAAAATATCAAATAATTATTAGTTTTATATTTGTATAATTGTTTTTATAATAATATCTTATAATATTAATTAAAAATAAGAAAACACTCTTAAATATAAAACATAAATTTTGTTAATGATTTTTAAAAACTACCACAAAATAGATATTCAATAATTTGTATCATTAAATTTTAAAAAATGACACATGTCATTTCTACAATAAACCAAAATGATGAGGTGGCACTCATATGGAGAGAGTTGGTCATCTTTTATAGTATGATTAATAATACATTAAATTTATGTATTAACTGTATTTTACATAATTTGTATCATTAAATTTTAAAAATTGACACATGTCATTTTCACAATAAACCAAAATGATGAAGTGTCACTCATATGGAGAGAGTTGGCCATCTTTTATAGTATATCTTTAGTTTATTATTGTACACTATATCGGTTTTACAGTGATTTCAGCTTATTCTCTGATCCACTTACACCACATTTTTGCATGCGAATATAATTTTGAATATGAAGCAACTTTTTCAAACAATATCTCGCATAAATAGAAAGTTAAAACAGAATGTGCATCGTCACCTAATTGCGAATCTGATTAATTAAAATTTTACATGATGTGAAAACACAGAGAGACTTTCATCATTATCGCTATCATTGTATATGATCTTGATCAGACCACGAAGTTGAGGGGGTGAGGTCACGCTGGTATGCATTTCACTATGGATGTCAAAATGTTCTATTTAAAATTTGGTAGCCTTTTGATCTACTTGATCGCACTGGGGAATGGCGATTACCAACCCAACATTGCAACGTTTGGATTTGATCAATTCGATGAGGAGCACCTTAAAGAAGGGTACTCAAAGATTTTCATTTTTCAGCAACTTCTATCTTGCATTAAACTTCAGATAGCTCTTTTCGAACACAATCTTGGATATTTTGAGGACGAGGAAATGTGGGTGCCCGGGTTTTGGGCGTTCACTAGCTCTGCCATTTTGGTGTTTGGTTTTTTCCTCGTTGTTACACTGAGACTGAAATACCGATATTTTAAACCAATGGGGAATCCTCTTTCGAGGTTTTGCAAAGTTTTAGTCATTGCAACAAAGAAATATGGAGGCAACCTCAAGAAAAATCATCATTAACTTCGCAGTTCCTCTTCGTTATTATGTGGTTTTCTATTTTTTTATATTTTAGATATTTGAGATATTTTAAAAGTTGTATTGCGTTCTGAATCTCAAGATACAACTGCATAATTTCTATAAAGGTAAAGCAAATTTATTAATATTACCTTGATAAAATATAATGTAAAAAAAAATTATTTACCTTGAAAAATTTGGTATATATAGTAAAATTAGGATTAAATAGAGCAAATAGAATTTGTTTACCTTATAAAAGTTTGATTTTCTTTTTTTTTCTTTAGTAAATTACAAACATTTTGTCTTGAGGAGTCTCGATTCCTTGGCATTATTTAGGGACAGACTACATTCCATTCCATTCCACACAAAACTATTTTTTTATTGCCGACAGATAAATAAATATTTTTTAATCTTATCATTCAACCACAGAATCCACAGTACACGTACACACATATAGTTGGGCTCCTGAAACTAAAAAGGCCAATATCTTGGATAGTCCATTTTCAAAATAAAATAAAATGCCAGCTGGCATTAGTATTACAGCAAAAATCCAAACAAAAGGTATCCAAAATATTTCATTTCTTCGATTTTTCCTCCTCCTTCCTCTTCCTCTCGACGACAAGAAGATAGAAAAAAAAAAAGAGGTTAAACTATCACCGAAGACCTTCCGCGAAGATCGAAGAATCATCTCGAAACGTTCTCCGTAAGTTTTCGTCATCTTCTCTTCTCAATCTCGTTCTTCGATCGCGTAATTTGATTCACCGATTCATTTCCTTGTCCCGATCTGAACTATTCGGAGATTTTTGTTTTCCGCAAGAGCTTCGTTGAATCATTCTTTCGGTGCAGATGTCCGATTACGAGTTTTTTTCTGTGATTTGATGTTAGTATTTTCTGTTTCTCTGTCGTTTAAGGAAGCTTGATTGTATTTTATGTATTGTCGCTTGGATTTAAGCACGACATCGAATTTCGTTGAATTTCGGAATTTTATCAACAGTTCTTGCTTTTAATCACACTCGGAAGAGAAATTACCATTGATTTGTAACTAGAACTCGTTGTATTGAGTTTTTTTTTTATTTTATTTTTCCCGTGAACTATGGTTTTGAATTTTTTCAGGATAATTCTTCGGACTAATGAATTAAGAAAAAATCTGAGTTTATAATATAGCAATTTGAGTCGTGAGAAAGAAAAAAAGATAATGGCTTGTAGAGGTTGTTTGGAGTGTTTGCTGAAGTTACTCAACTTTCTGCTGGCTATTGCTGGACTCGGCATGATTGGTTATGGAATCTACTTATTTGTGGAGTACAAGAGAGCAACAGATAACTCTCTTACATTCACTCCTATAAACGGCGACCAAAGTTACGTCTCTTTCGGGAGGCCCATGCTTATGGCTGTGGCACTATCTTCGAATGTCTTTGACAATCTTCCAAAAGCTTGGTATGTATTTACAAGTTAATATATTGTGTTCAAGACAAAATCTTGGCTCCTATGTTCTATGTATCTGACGATCTTCTGGTTCTGTTCAGGTTCATATACTTGTTCATTGGTATCGGCGTGGCTCTGTTTGTTATCTCATGTTGTGGCTGTGTTGGTACTTGTTCAAGGAGCGTCTGCTGCTTATCTTGTGTATCCTCAATCGCTGAACTTATTTTTTCGTTTTTAGATAAAATTTGGTGAATTTGATCCTTGAGGAAGCTAAAAAAAGTCTTGACCTTTTTTATTTCCTTAATTGAGAATAGTACTCTCTGCTTCTGATCTTGTTGATCTTGGCTGAGCTTGGAGCTGCAGCGTTTATATTCTTCGACAATAGCTGGAGAGATGTGAGTTATCTTTTTTTTTTTTGTGAGTTTCCCTCTTGAGCTAGATTTCACGTTGCCTTAGCTAACCATTTGGTATAACTGTTCTCTAGGAAATTCCTTCTGACAGGACTGGAAACTTCGATACGATATATAATTTCCTGAGAGAGAACTGGAAGATTGTAAGATGGGTTGCTCTAGGAGCAGTTGTTTTCGAGGTAAGAGCAAGCAAACATACAGAACTTCTGATCATTTCTTCTCTTCTCAGTCTGCAATCTATCTTGAGAAGTTAAATATCACTAGGAAAGTGCTTGTTGACTGTTGTATGATCTTAACAAAGCAGAATAATGGCAATAGAAACGGGTCACACACTCTCAATGCTGTATGTTCTTGTTTACTCGCAGGCTTTGCTTTTCTTGCTTGCCCTAATGGTTAGAGCAGCTAATTCACCAGCAGAGTATGACAGTGACGATGAGTTTATTGCTCCAAGGCAACAAATCAGGCAGCCATTCATCAACCGCCAAGCCACCCCTGTCACCGGTGTCCCGGTTGCTCCTACTTTGGACCAACGCCCGAGCCGCAGCGATCCTTGGAGTGCACGTATGAGGGAAAAGGTAACATGATTAAAGAAACAAGAAGTAGAAAAGGCATTATCAAGATAACGGTGATTCTCACTGATGGTCTTTTGTTGAAACAGTATGGGCTTGACACATCAGAGTTCACATACAATCCTTCAGAGTCACACCGGTTCCAGCAAATGCCGACGCAGCCAAATGAAGAAAAGGGCCGATGCAACATCATGTGAGTCCATGTTAAAAAAGTCTTCACTCAATTCTCTTTTTTCATGTTTCTTCGTTCAGTGTGGAACAATCAGAGGGTGTCAGTGAAAATTAGAGGTTTGTTTCTAAGACCCGGATCTTATTGTTGTGTCTGTGTAGTCTTTTGTAAGGGATTCACCATCATGAATATTCATCTTGGTTTGTCTGATTCGGTCCTATAATTCTTATTATATGTATAATTCATCTACTTCATCATGTCATCTAATTTTTTAAGACGTGTATTGTTTCTCAACGTTCTTTCTTATTCTATATTATAAAACCATAGCCAATAATAAGGTAGATTAGGTCCTAAGAGATGTATGAGATAATTCCTTAAAGATGGATGTAGAAAAAATCTTTGTTGTAGCCGTATATATGATGAAAGAGAAAAATGCTGGTGATATACTGATATGTATGGGATGAGTCGAATACACGATAACATTATTGTGAAAAAGGACGAGAGAGTTTATGAATTGAGCCGCCTATGACATTGTCACTTACCAAATTAAGCACCAAATCGGTTTGGAACAAATGACCTAGGCACACCCGAACTCTGGCCGTATATATATCTCTCTCCGATGGTTTTGTGTCTTTTGTAGTCATATCTCTCAGCAAAATACAGAGCGATCATGGATTCAATACCTCTTGATCTCTTTCAGGAGATATTCTGTAGATTGCCTGTCAAGTCAATAAGGAGGTGTGGTTGCGTGTCGAAGCCATGGGAGTCAATACTTTGCCGTCAAGATTTCATTGAATTGTTCTTGGCCAAGTCATCGGCTCGTCCTCGTCTCTTATTAGCCGTCAATCAAATCTTTGGCTGGCGCATCTTCTCATTGCCTCAGCCTCATAGTCCGTATGAAGAGAATCGTCGTCGTCTCTTGTAATAGCCGCCGATTCTCATATAAAGTTCCCTGGAGACATTCGGCAAGAATTGTGTGACTATACCTCAGGTTTGATCTGTTTCCGTTATACTCTTTCGGAGGAAGAGCATACAGTGCATGTGATATGTAACCCTAGCACATGAGAGTGTACGAGCTTACCTTAAGTGAGAAAGGCCAGAGATTCGGATAGCTTTCTAGGATTTGATCCCATTGACAAGCAATTCAAGGTGTCAGTCGTCATGGCTAAAAATAGTCATAGAATGCTAACGTTGGGAACTGGAAAAATTAGTTGGATTCCAATGCCCTTTAACCCATGAATTTGATTTTTATTACTCGTGTCTTGGGATATGCATCAATGGGGTTTTGTATTACTTTGCATCTTTTGATGAGAAGATAGCTTGCTTTGATGTCAGGTCTGAGAAATTCATCAAGTTTATGGGCAGATTTTTACTGATGATGGGCCTGGTAGATTGATATGCAGTAAAGGTAAATTATGCGTGATCACATAAAAAAGTCCTCATCAAAGTGATTCCGTTGAGCTGCGTGTGCGGGTTCTAGAGGATTTTGAGAAACAAGAATGGTCGGAACATGTCTACACTCTTCTGGGTAACGAACTCGCCTACCACAATGTTGACGTTGTTGAAGTGACAGCTACAGGTGAAATTGTTTTCTCAGATCGCTTTATGCGTAAACCGTTTTATGTGTACTATCTCAATTCCGAAAAGAACGCTCTCCAAAGATTTGAAATCCAAGGTAACCATCAAAAACTGTTTGGCGCTAAGTACGTCTTTCTAAACCATGTAGAGGATCTTAGGTTTAATATTAGGAAGAAAGCCCTTCCAGAACCCGCGAGCACACCATCATCATCTATAAACCCACTAGAACAGAAGCCTAAACCCACAAGTACATCAACATCGTCTTCCAAAGCTCACCTCCAACAAGATCCTCGTACTTTTGAGAGCATTAACAAATTTGATACTCTGAGTCTTTTAGACAATGTAGAGGATCTTAAGTTTAGTATTATGAATACAAGCCCGCCAGAGAAGACGCCTAATAAAGCCATGAGTACATCAATATTATCATCTAAAGCTCACCTGAAAAAACAAGATCCTCGCACCTATGGTAGTATGAAGACAACATATACGGCATCATCTATAAACCCACCAGGACAGAAGCCTAAACCCACGGGCACATCAACGAGCTTTATTACTCCGATGGCTTTAGCTATCTTGCTTCTTGTTTGGATTTGTTTTTCGTCCAGAGTTTATTATTTAATAATCATCATGTAATGATAGGTCATATGAGAGCGATTTCAGATGTCAATTTTGCTTCTTCTTCTTTACTTTATTATTGTATATTGGTTTACTGTGATTCAGCTTGTATCTCTGAGACCATGTTCAACGCTAGAAATGTTAAAAAATACATTTATTAAATATAATATATTAATATAATATAATAATATAAATAAATTTTAAATATAAAGAAAGCAAATCAGTTATATAGTGATACATGTTTAAAATGTTTTAGATCTGGATCTTAAAGCATTAGTATTAGAGAGCTGAGGAGAGAATTTTTAAAATAAATTTATTGTTAAAATTTACTTTTTTTTAAATGATTTTCAGAAAAAAAAAAAAGAATTTGACGAATCACATTTCACCACATCACGGGAGAGACGTTCTTACAACCTCTCTGCAGAGAGTCAATTCTGAATATCAGTTTTGCCACGTCATTTTTTTTTCTTTAAAACCCATCATTAATCTGATTAGTAACACAGTAAAACCGTAGAATTGCGGAATGGCGGAATGCAGAATAGCGGAATAATTATTTTTGATATGATTGGATAAATTATGCGGAATGGCAGAATGATGGAATGACAGAAAATATACAAAATTAATTTTTTATTATAATATATTTTATTGATATAATAAAAATCAAAATATTAATTATTATAAAAATATAATTTTAATATAATTATAAAAAAATTAAAACTTTTATTGTAATTATTTATTTTTATTTACTATAAAATATATAAATATATTACAAAATTTAATCTACAGATATACTAAGATCATTATATAAATATATATAGTATAAATATATTTATTTAAATAATAAAATATAATTAATTATATAATTGAATGATATAAAATATTAATTCTGCAAATAAGCTACTTGAAACACACTTTTCCACTTAATCAAATTTTCTTTGTATTTTTTGTAAGTATTTCCGCCATTCCGCAGAACTCGAGTTTTGACGTTCTCTGCAAATTTTTTTGATTAGCAAAATTTTTGCGGAATCGCGTTTTTCCGCCATTCCACCATTCCACAAAATTTACCAACTTATCATTACAAATGCTCTTAAGTAAGCGCTCTAAGAATTGTTTTTTCTTCAGATTTCTTACTTTTTTATTTTTTCAGTAATTTTTAAAATTAAGATACTAGATAAGAATCTAGAGTTGAACATGCTCTGAGTCACTAAAAACCAGATTTTGATGCGAGTAATAAGTTAGATTAGGTCACTCATAAAAAAAAAGGGGGATTAGGTCTTATGTTTTTTTTTTGATAACTCAGGGTATATCCCAGACTAATTCTCTGGGGGAGGTGCAACCCATAGATAGACCCTCTCTCTGGATATTCAAATGAGCCGAAAGCATGGGCCTATATCTATGTGGCTAAATGGGATTAATCTAGCAATTTTGTATTTGAGGAGAATCGATCCATGGTCTTGACCAACAGGGCAATTCCTCCTCAAGTGGAAATCACTAGACCAACACCACTTGGTTATTAGGTCTTATGTTAGAAACTGTAATATCCACCACAACTCGAACCAAGCCCACCTCTGCTTGATCCTCTACCTCTACCTCATGTGCGTCCAGCACGTTCTGTCATCATTTTTCGGTGCAAATAGTCTGTGATTTGATGTTAGTATTTTCTGTTTCTGTGTCGTTTAAGGAAACTAATTTGAATTTTATGTATTATCGATTAGATTTGAGCACGACATCGAATTTCGTAGAATTTTGATTAATATTTTTTTATATTTTAATTCTATTAAAATTTTTATTTTTTATAGTTATTTTTTATTATTAAATATTTATATAATGTTATTATTATATTATTATTAATTACATATAAATAAAATATTTTTAATATATAATATTAATCATATATTAAATATATAAAATGTTTTATAATGCCATGTGGGATAAATAAACAACAACACTTAAAACTAGGTGTTTGCCCGCACAAGTTGCGGGGTTCGATTAAATTTATTAAGAAATAATAACATTAGTTTATTTATAAATGAAAAGTTAGATTTTATAATTATTTAAAATCAAAATTAGTATATTTGAAAATAAAAATTTTATGACATATTATTTTTTGGCTTCATAAATTAATTTTTATAAAATTTAGAGTTTTACTTGTGACCGCATAAATTAATTAGGTTAAATCAAAAATATTAGTAGATTAAACGATCAAATTAAAACTAATTTAAGAAAATAATTAGAATTAATTTTTTGTAATTTATGCTAATTACTTTTTTTAGTAAACTGAATATTCTTATGATATAAACTCGAATTTGGAAATTTAGGTTTAAATAAAATAAAAATCAAAAATTAGATTATATTAATTTGTTAATTTCACTAAAGATAAATAAAAAAATTTCATATAAGTGGCCAATAGTAATCAACCATCATAACTCTCAATTAATAATATGATTTAAAAAATACAGTGATTCACCGATGGTTTTTTGTTGAAACAGTATGGGTTGACACATCTGAGTTTACGTACAATCCCTCAGAGTCACACCGGTTCCAGCAAATGCCGACACAGCCAAACGAACAAAAGGGCCGATGCAACATCATTTGAGTCCATGTTAAAAAGTCTTCACTCAATCCTTTTTTTTCATGTTTCTTCGTTCAGTGTGGAACAATCAAATAGTGTCAATGAAAATTAGAGGTTTGTTTCTGGGTTGATGATGATAACTCTGGTTTTGAACTTTTGGTGATCTCTAATCAAACCTAGTCACGTTTTCTAAGACTCGGATCTTATTGTTGTGTCTGTGTAGTCTTTTGCAAGGGATTCATCATCATGAACAATCATCCTGGTTTGTCTGATTCGGTCCTATAATTCTTATTATATATAAAAAAGGGAATCATCTGTTTCATCATGTCATCTAATTTTTTGAGACTTAAACCCAGGAAATTTTGTTCTTGTTCTGTGTTATAAAACCATAGCCAATAATTAAGCACGAAAAATTAAGAAATCGATGAATTTTATAATAAGAATATTCATGCATTGGATGTTATAGTTTGAGTTTCTAACATATATAGGAACTAATCCACCTTAATTATAGGCTGTGGTTTTATAACATTGTCACTTACAAAAGCTTTGGTTCAAGGGTATTCTTTGAGAAGACGAACAGTGTT